AAGTTAGCCTGGAGTCCTGCTATCAGTCGTTTATCCACCAACTTTTGGCATAAATGTTAATCCTTTTGGAGATAGGGTGAGGAGCTCGGAGTAGAGCCGCTGCTCCTCCACGTCGAAAGGAGCCAGCTGAGGTGGCTCGGGCATCTTTCTCGGCTGCCTCCTGGACTCCTCCCTGGTCAGGTGTTCCGGGCGCGTCCCACCGGGAGGAGGCCTCGGGGAAGACCCAGGACACGTTGGAGAGATTATGTCTCTCGGCTGGCCTGGGAACGCCTTGGGGTCCCCCCGGAAGAGCTGGAGGAGGTGTGTGCGGATCGGGAAGTCTGGGCGGCTTTGCTCAGGCTGCTGCCTCCGCGACCTGATTCTGGATAAAGCGGAAGAAGATGGACGGATTTATACAAAACACTGATCACCAGCTAATCACCAACACCATCTGTGTTCTACTTGATATCGAGCAGTTGTAGTGTCAGTTTCTCAGAGCTTTTCTGTTGGTTATGGTTGCTATGAGAGTAGTGTGATTGTGGTGGTTCCACATCCTGTCACAGTTCATGTCTGGAATCTGTTGCCATCTGAGGCTTTGGCTGAAACTTCAAAACACACACACACAGCCTTCCACCTGTGCAACATTTAAATTGCTGCTTTTTTTTGTTTCCGTGGTCTTTGCTGCACGAGTTTTCAGATCACTTGACTGCGTTGCACCTGTTTTCATTGTGTGGCTGCACACTGCACTGGCTCAGACGAACAAAGGTCCCAGGCCTCCAGGTGCACGCTGACACGCAACTATTGTACAGTCAGCATCTGAATGGTGACCGAACACCCAGTTATGACAAAAGATGTGTTTTTTTTTTTTTAAAACTATTAACTAATCATCCTGTCCCTACAAGTGGATGTGCATTTGCTCTTCCTCTTTTTGTGTGTGTCGTAAGGCCGGCGGGGTTGGCAACAAAACCGCCTCAGAAGCGACACTAACGGCACTTTTTGTTGGCTTTGTTAAAGAACACAGATTTTTTTTTTCCCCACAACACACTTTATTCTTAAATTGTAAAGTGTTGTTTGAGCCCAAGCAGCTGCACAAGAACTTTTAATAAACTAAAATACAATATAAAGTTGGTAAATTTAAATGTACATAAACAGACTGTTGCAATCCAGCCTCGAGGGTCAGCTGGATGTAAGAAAAAGTCCAGATGGAAATGGTTCAGGAAAGCAATTTATTGCTTAGTAACGTAAATGAACATAACAGAACTGTGACAATACAAAAGAAGATGGTGGATGTTGCTACAAATCAAAAGAACCAAACAAAGGCTAAGAGAGTATGGAAACTAGCAAACTAAACTAAACTAAACTCCTTCGCCAAACTTAAATCTAACAGCAACATCCACACATAACAAAAGAAACTAAAACAAACTGGTGCCTCAAAACACACAAAACACGAGTAACTTCTTCATGAAGTTGCGCAGCTGCTAACGGGAGTCACAGTCTTCACTGAGACTCTCAGAACTCCCACACCGAGTTAGCAGCTGCCAACAGAAGTGACATTACAATAGACACAAATCACACAGAGCGAGAGGCACCAGGCCGGACTGTTCACATTAAATCCCAGCCAGTCCTGACTGAAAGGTTGCTGGTTGCTTTTATAGCCAGGTGTGGTGATTGCTGAGGTGGAGGAGGAGTGGTGGTGGTCCAATCAGACGTGACCAGAGGCGGGGAGAACAAGGGCCGGAGCTCCAGGTTAACTACCTAAGATGACTGGTGTCCTGGAGCGAGCCCTAGCCAGGTCATCTCCACATGCAATGGTCACAAGTCCACCACATATGACGGCACAAACACCATGGGCCATAACAACGAAAAGATTAATGAGTAGGGATGCACGATGATTGTTTCCATCAATGTTACCGGGTGAGAAAGGCTTGAAAATGAAACATCTGCAGCGGCCCAAATAATGGGTAATGGCAGGCAGACGACACCTGTCAGACTCAAGGTTTATAGTTTTGGAAATGTTCTGCCTGTAAGTTAAAGTGGTTTGTTTATTTTTATCCAATGAGTAATGGAAAGCATTGGATTTTATATTTTGTCCATCGATGAACGGCCTGACTGATCTTTGGATCCAAAATTCTGCATTATTCGGTATAGCTATTAAAAAGGAAAAAGAAATTCTGATGAAATGAATACATGTAAAAACACAGTACTCTGGCTCTGATGCAGCTCTGATTGGTTCGTAACAACCACGAGGAAAAGTTCTTTTTGAAGTAAACACATGGAAAGCATTATTAAGTATTTTAACAAAGTTTTGACACCAAGATTTTTAATTTTTACTGACCATCTCCTGGTATATGAGCTCCAGATATGGGCTAGTGCGCTCCTTGATTACTAATATTTGGTATCAACCAGAAAACAATCCTGTTAATCTGCTAGTTAATTCCACTACAGAAGCGACCGAATGTTCTCTGCAGTCTGGTGGAAAAAATATGTGCATACATCGGCATCTGCAATCAACCGATATTAGTAAAAATGGAGAATCCTTCATCCCTATTCATGGGATTCCTGAGATTCGGTGTGAGCAGACGGCCGGACACATGACAGCTTTCAGTACTTGAGGGTTTTTTTGTTTGCTGCTGTGTGTTGGTAGGACTGAGTGATAATTGTTACAGATATTGCAGTTTGATTAATGATAAAATCTTTTCCAGTTTCGGCTCAGTTTTCTTGCTGCAGCGGATTCAGAACAAGCTTCACCACATGAGATAACATCAGAACCATCGCTATCTCTCGCTGAGCACAACACGAATTAAACCACTGACACGACAGTTTAAACCCACTCCATCGCGTGTGTCTTACTTTGTGATTTGCTAACTGAGTTGTCTCAAACACTGTTGAGCCCTAATTACCAGTGCAACAACAACAACACAGTGATCCAGATAAGGAAAGCTTTGATCTGATGCTCCGGACTCGCACCAGTGTAGATCCAGTCTATGGATTTCGGCCAAATTTGAACAATGAAAAGAAATTGTTTATCAATGTCATACTGACACTAAAGACGGTAAAAGATGAAGGAATTCTGCTGCGAGTGTCTGGAGAACTGCTGCGTTACAGTCCTCTAACAGTATGATGGACAGTTTTTAAAAAAAGGACCAACATTGATTTTATTTCATGCATCCATCTTCTTTATCAAAACCTGGTGCGAACATTGCACACACTGCAGCTCAACCACTGGATGCTCTGACTGCAGTTTGTAGTGTTTGATCACGTCTCCAGAGCAATAGAAATGGAACACAAGGTACGAAGACTTTCACTTCCGCCGGCCTCACCACGCACCTGAGAACGTGCCATGTGTGGTGTCACTCAGTCAGTTGTACTGACGCACATTTGTATGCATGCGTACCGCAAATGCTTTATTTCATAAAACCGCAAATGGTGTTTTAACCCTTTGACCCTTTCACATTCTTTCACCACAGTTTTTTTTCTTGCGCTGTTTGATGTCGTTGCCTTAATCAAACCCTTTTCTCGCACTCGCGTCTCATCCATCATTTCATTCTCGAGCCTCTAAAGTTCTGACTCTCTGCACATTTTTCTGCTTTTGATTTGGCATTTCTTTCCACACACCCTTGGTAGGAGAGTGGGTCACTGAGGTTCCCTCCCTGTGTGTGTGTGTGTGTGTGTGTGGATGTCGTGCATGTTTGGATTGAGATTGAGTTACATAGCTGGATTGTGTAATTGTGAGGTGTGTCTCTGCTGTAAGGCGCTGCTCGGCTGTTTCCATTGTTGAGAGTTGAAACTTGGAGCTGCTGCAGTGTCGTCGTGCTGCGCTGGCTTTCGCAGCAAAATGGAGAATGTGCGAGGGAGTGTTGTTGACTCCAAACGCTCCGTGCAGCCTGTGCAACTTTACCGTAAATAGAGGATTAAAGCCCGTTGTTGTTGGCCTCGCTTTATGTGTGTGTCTCAAAGTGAAGGTTGAGTTTTTTTTCCTTCTGAGCTGTGGTTAGTTTGGATTACGGCGTCCCAGTCGTGCAGCCTCGCGTCTTCCTGTTGTGACTTGTCGTGCTGAATGGATGCTATTTACTGACTCATTAGTAATAAGATAATAGGGATTAGCTGTTGCTGCTAATCAAGATTTTCTAGCTTATGGAGATCAGAATTCTTTAAAGATGTCATCCTTAGAAGGCTGCATTTACTGTGTGTTTAGTCCTTTGAGGTACACAATATACTGTAGTTTCATTTTACTAATTAACCAGCTTATATTATGCACGGTGAAATAAACGAAAACTACAATGCAGGATATTCTTCCTGTGTTGTTGCCTCTCTGGGGGAGTTTTTAATCACTACAACAGCGGTTTCCTGCATTATCAGGTAATCTAGCAGGTTTTTTCTAGATTAATAGATTTCTCTGTAATGCATAAGAAACCATCACAATGTCCTAGAACCCCAGACAGCAGTACTAAATATTTGATTTGGCATAAACAGTGTGAAACTAAAGATGTGCCCACAAGCCCACAAACGTTGTGGCGTCGCTCTGCTTTACCGCGACCGTGCAATACGTTGCAGCATCTCTCTGTGAAGCCGTGTGAAGAGGAGTTTGTGAAAAAGCACTGCTCAGATAAGGAGGTCGGCAAAATACACGTGTTCTAATAATCCACACAAAACACGCAGGCGGCAGCTTCTCGTTTTTAGTCTGAGCCGACTTCTGCTTCGAGCGTAGAAGCGAACCAGCAGCAGGTGAGATCAGCTGTCGTTGACGAGTGTCTCGTTTAGTAATTTGATGTCAGAACTGGTTGTCAGATTTGTGTGCTCTCTGCTGGTTAAACACAGTTGCTTATATCTTTAGTTGGTTCCAGGCATTGCTGATGTTAAAGAGTAACAGCCAAATCCACTGTTGTCCAGCTTCATGATTCATTTGTTTGTGACTGATAAAGTTGCTTTAAATATAAGCACTTGCACAAATGATTTTGGATTAATATCCTGCAGAATGGTTGTGTTTTTACTAAGAAAGCTAATTATTCATTTGTCCACAGATTGACCATCCAGTGTCCCACACAGCTGCACCCCGAAGGCTGCCGACTTCACACTGGATCCCTCCGGTGCTCACCTGTCCATCTCCAAACCACCGAAGCGGGCGAGCCTGAATGCCGCCTTAGTCCTTCCCCTGTGCTCTCTGTCTGCAGCGCCGCCCTCCTCTCCTCTCTCCTCTCCGTCTCCTGCCTGATCCCACGTCCGCCTTCGGTCTCAGCATGGATACCAACACCGCGGACAAGGAGGGATGCTTCTTCAACCAGACCGTCAAGTTTTTCTACGAGGAGAGTGGCAAGAACATCAGCAACCACTGGCGCAAACGTGACTATGTGATTGTCACTCTGGGAATGACAGTTTGCTTCGTTGTTATTTTTTCCAACCTTTTGGTCATTGCGGCCATTTTCAAAAACCGACGCTTTCACTTTCCTATCTACTACCTGTTGGGTAATCTGGCTTTGTCAGACCTTTTCTCAGGTAATATTGCTTTTACTTTATCTGCTTCTCATTGTTATTGTTACGTAACTGCAGAGCAAACACAGGTCTAATCTACACTGCATATTATTAGTATTAGTATTAACAACATACACACATTCTCAGACTATCTAAATCCTGTTTTATAATGTGTTTTTGTGTTGTTTTGTGTGTTATAATAGGCTGTAAGGAGACATGATAAACTTAGAAACTAGACCTTAGAAACAACTTATCATCTTTAACATCTTATCTAATCATAAGTTATCTAATAGTTGGTACATATTACAGGGAAACACTGAAAAACAGCTAAATAATATATTTAGGAAATATTGTTCCTGTAGGATTTCTGTCATACTTTAACACAAAAGGATATAAAATTGCATCCCATGTCGTATTTAAACGTGTCACCTTTAACTTGGTCAACTTGATTTTTCATCATGTTGTACTTCAGCACAGCAACCTTTTAACATTTGAGACTCTACAAGAAAAAGACAAACGTGTCTCTCCTTGCGGTCTGTTTTTACAGCTGGTTGGGCAACCAGGCTGCCTTCTTATCAGACCACGGTGCTGTGACACGAGTCTAGATGCTGCTGATGTGCTACATGATAAGCAAAGGCTCGCATGTGGGTGTTCATCACAACTGTGGTGCTAATGTGGCGCCTGTTCCTCTGAAAAGAAGGAAAATGCATTTTAAATTAGAGCCAAACCGATGCCGTACGTTTGGCGCTGATGCTGATATCAGTTTTTAGGGAGTAGAAAACTGCAATGTCGATACTTAGAGTTGGATTGAAAAGGGAAGATGATCATTTTTTTTAACACTCCAGCAGTATATTTCACAAGCTAGTTAGCATCTTACCACCAAGACACCCTCTGACTCCGCACCACCGTCTACTCATCTGTGATATGTGCTCTGCTACATGTGCTGCAGACACTTAAAGAATGGAATCAGGGCAACCTCCATTGAACGCTGTAATGACACTATTTCTAAATGACTCCAAGCATCTTTATCTGCAATATGTTCTGTAAAAAGACAAAAATCCCATCAATCATCAGTATCCCATCAATACTGGCTGACGATATCAGCCGGCCCACATATGGGTCAGGCGCTACCTGTAATGTTTGGAGTTCAGAACTTCAAACTTGCTAAAATCTAAAGAAAAATATCTGAAATAAACGCATGAAATTGTAATTAGAACAAAATCATTCAAAGTAATGTAAGAACTAATTAAAAATGAATACAAGCCTTATATTTATGATGTTTTCTTACAGTGAAATTTGTGAACTTGTAAACACAAGCCATGAATACAAAGTTAGGTTCAGTTAGACAGTCAAGCCACATTTGGAGTTTTCTCTGAATCCTCTCTGTTTCCATCCAGCTTAAACTCATCTCACAGATAGTGATCAGCTTGACTGAAATTAGTCAGTCTCTCTATCATCACTCTTCAGATTGCTTGTAGAGACACGAAACAGAAGTTGTCCCAGTTGTGTAATGCAGAAAAACAGTCCTAATACACACACTACACCGTGACCCAACGTACGAGGTGTGTCAGAAAAGTTCCAGGACTGGTGTCACAACAGATATATTTCAAACCCAAATTACGAGTTTTCCCGTTCAGACGATCAACCAGCACGTCTACAAACAGATCCTGCAGCTTTTGCTTCTTCAGAAGAGACGAGAGTTGTGGCAGGACGAGTCGTGGCTGCTTCACCATGACAACGCGCCTGCTCACAATGCCCTGAGCATCCCACAGTTCCTGGCTGAGAAGAACATCACTGTACTGGAGCATCCTCCCTACTCACCCCACCTGGTTCCCTGGGTTTTTTTCCTCTTCCCCAAGCTCAAGGGGTTCATCAGAGGGACCCGTTTTGAAGACGTGGACGACATCAAGATGGCTGTGACGACAGAGCTGTGGAGGATCCTGGAAGAATCCTTCCAGGAGTGCATGGCGACGTGGCAGAGAAGGCTGGGGAAGTGTGTTAGACTCCAGGGGGATTACTTTGAAAGGGAAAACTTGTAGTTTGTAGTTACAACACATCTTTTGTGAAACCGGTCCTGGAACTTTTCTGACACACCTCGTATGTAGCGCTGTAAAGTATGTAATACTGTAGTAAAATCCCCACTTTCCTCTCCCCAGGTGTCTCCTACCTCCACTTGATGTTTCATACCGGTCCCTGGACCATTAAGCTGTCCAAGTACCAGTGGTTTGTGCGTCAGGGGCTGATCGACACCAGCCTGACAGCCTCGGTCCTCAACCTCCTGGCCGTCGCCGTGGAGCGACACCAAACCATCTTCAACATGCAGCTGCACAGTAAGATGAGCACCCGGCGTGTTTTCGTCATCATGGTGTTCATCTGGCTGCTAGCGATAATCATGGGTCTGGTTCCCACCATGGGCTGGCACTGCCTGTGCGACCTGCCCAACTGCTCCACCATGGCGCCGCTGTACAGTCGCAGCTACCTGGTGTTCTGGGCCCTTCTCAACTTGCTGACCTTCTCCATCATGGTGGCTGTCTACACCCGGATCTTTATTTACGTGAGGCACAAGAGCAAGCAGATGTCTCAGCACACCACCCAGCAAAGACACAGAGAAACGGTGTTCAACCTGATGAAGACCGTCTCCATGATCCTGGGTGAGGACGCGCACATACTTACTAAAACCTATGTTGTGAATGTCTCATCAGCTCCATGTAGGTGGTTTCTCTGACACTCCTGCAATGCACCTGAAAGTACAAACAACCTGTCCGTGTCAGTCAGCGTGCGCCTGTGGCTTTAAGTGCAGCGGAGAAAATCACAGCCTTTAATTAGCGTCAACACCGGTGCACATGAAAAACAGGTATGTGCACTTGATATGAACGCAGAGAGCAGTATCCATGAGCGGAAAGCCATCCTCCCGAGAGAACAACATGTAATAAACGTCAGTACTTACTTGCATCGTAAACGGGGTAGTCATCGAGGACGTTCAAGAGCCAAAACTCGCTCAGTGATTTACACGAACCGGTCAGAGTTCAGTGGTGTAAACCCAGAACAGTTTTATAGGTACTTTCATTGCGTATTTCCATTTTCTACAATTCAGAGGTAAAGATGGTACCTTTTATTCTACTTTCATTTTACGGCCTTAAGTTACTTTGCATATTTGAATGAATAATAAATAAATCCACACATAAGGAAAAGTCTCACAGTGATATTAAACTTTATTGATCCACATCGAGGGGGAAATTAACAAAGTAACCCGCAGTAAATATCAGTAATTATAATCAATTATGTAATGACCTTGGAATTCATTTGCCAACAAAACATGACTCAGATTTTCAGCTATATAATCCAGCTATAAAAAAGAAATCTAGCTATATAATAGGGGAAGTTTATATCTCTGTATATGAACCTTTATCAGTTTAGAGGGCATCTGGTTCATAATCAGCACATCATCATTTCCATTTTCCTGAATGACTCCACAATCAACCACTTTATGAACATGTCAGTCCTTTAACCTTCATCAGGCAAAGTCTAACAGGATACACGTGTTTGTTTTGTCAAAATGTTTGAATTCATGCAGCTGTCAGGAAGATTTTTTTGGTTTGCAAGACCTTTTTTCAAGAGAACTTCCTCCACTATAAAGAGTGGTGGGGATCTTGCAACAAGAACCACAACGTCCTTTTCGTGATTGGAGTGTGAGACTGCTTTGTAAATAAGTTGGTTAAAACTGGTAAACATGTGGAAAGAATGAGCATTAGAGAGCCTAAAACTCCAAATAAGTATTTTATTTTATTATTTCATGATTGCAAATATTTGTGGTTAAACTTAAAGTGTGAAAGAAATGTAGAATATATTGATAAATTAATACTCAAAAACTCTCCAACCACTTCTAACCTGCAAGGAAACCTTTATTACCGTGTTTATGTGGATACTCATGGCTTCTGGTAAAAAGCTAATTGGAAACCGTTTCTTGAGGGATTTTAATTGTACAAATGACTCATTTTGTGTATACTGTGGGAGCTCCAGTTTTTCAAGGAAGTGTTCACCTGGATCTTGGCAGAATAAAATGACAAACACCTACAGCCTCCTCAGCCTATGACTGCACAGCCGGGCTGCCATGCAGGCTCGTCTCTCAGCTTGTCTGGACTTGTAGCATCAGACTTTATTGCCCCCACACATTCACTCCTTCCCTTCTCCCACCAGTGCCTCTTGTTTTCTGCAGAGCCAACGCTGCTCCCTCGCTGCTCTGCCGTCTTTCCCAGCCTCCCCTGCCCACGGAGCATTTTGAACTTTCGATTAAATTCCTTAAAATGTTTTTAAAAAAAAGGTTTCAGGTCTTTCTCCCGTCGCTCAGCAGCCTGGTTTCAGCCCCTCTGGCATGTGAGGAGGGCGAGGAAAGCCCCGAGCGTGCCCTGACAGGGAGCCGCATAGTTCAGTTACTGTGACAGAAAACAGCTTTCCTCCTGATGACACCACTGAGAATGTGTGGGGGGTGAATCTTCTTTATTTGTGAGCAGCAGCAGCTTTTCTTTCTTTCTTTCTTTTTACCCTGAACGTGAGGGGAGCTGTTTGCAAAGTGGCCACATTTTGGCTGTTCGTCACGTCTTCAGATTGTAAATTGAGGGTCAACTTCTGGATTTAGATCTGAGGTTAAGCGTGCAGTTGTGACAGTTAGGGTTAGAGGTCTGCGTGTGTGTTCCCTCATCGCTTTACCATTTCCTTCTTCAGCTCGTACGTGTGCATATATTAGCGGCGAACGTGCTGCATGTGTGTGTACATAGTGAATTCCTGAGCTGCCTAATCGAGTATTATGATAATGAAATTTGATCATACAGACTAAACCCACACCGCATGCTGACATGTTATACATGTGTGTGTGTGTGTGTGTGTGTGTCTGTGTGTGTGTGTGTGTATGTGTGCATTGTCTGTAAAGGAATTTACAGTGCATTCCCCCTAAGCTGCCCCCTGCTTCCTCACATTCTTCACAACTCTGTTCATTTTCTTTCGTCTAACTCCTTTTTTTTTTTATCTCTAACTTTTCTTGTTGTTTTCCAATGTTATTTCAAGTCTTCTAATGACCTTACGTACCCTTGATCTCCCTCCTCCTGCCCCATCTGCCCTCTACAGGCTGCTTTGTGATCTGCTGGACGCCCGGCCTGGTCGTGCTGCTGCTCGACGGTCTGGGCTGCGACAAGTGTCAGGTGCTCCGCTTTGAGAAGTACTGCCTGGTGCTGGCCGAGTGCAACTCCTTCGTCAACCCAATCATCTACTCCTTCAGGGACAAAGACATGAGGAGGACCTTCAAGGAAATCCTATGCTGCCTGTGCCGGCGGAGCAGAAGAAACGGAGGCACCTCTGAAGTTCACTTTAACACCGTGGAGCACGAGGTACTGTCCGAGAGCACCGGAGCCGATGACAGCAATCACAAACAAAACAACCACTCGCACTAAGGACTGTTTAGAACAAGCCCCTGAAATCACACTGACTGTAGACAGATAATGATGATGACGATGATCTGTTTACCACATATAGTTCAACCACGACAACCGTCACCGCAACAGTTTGAGGCCTGTGTAACGACATCTGACAGCTGAGAGTGGCTTATTTATTGGTTTTCCCCTCGTAGAAAGAAAATCCTTGCTACATATTTTAGTGTAACAGTGTGAACTCTAATTATTTAGAAGAGCACAAAAGTGGAAAACATCCAGGTGCAATTGGATTTTAAAAACACATCTCAAAGGGACTCTATTTTTTAAAACTTATTTCACCTAAAGTGACTGTAGCCTTTAATACTAAATATTAGCTCACTGTTTAGCAGTTAAACCTGCAACTTTACTGTATTCATCGAGGTGTCACACCAGCGTTGCCCATACGTTGGCCTCTGCAATATTAACACTGACCGCCACATGTTCAGTTTTGATTGGAGGAACAATTGGTGGCATTTCCCCCAAAAAGTTAATCAATCTGGAATTCATTCATGATTGTTATCGTAAACACCTCAACAAGTCTCTCTAACACTGATGCGTTCACGTTACCTCTGATAAGTTGGTCTTTAACCCGACACTGTCAACCTGGGACGCCCAACTCTTCTGTTAAGTTATCAGCAAGCATGTAAGGTGCCATATTGCCTTTCTAGATCTAATTCCTAACCATCGCAGGGAGACCTCTGGTTTTTTTTCTTTACTCTAGTCTGGCTGGTGGCCGTTAACCAGCCTTTACTGTCTGGACCAGCTCTGCAGTGACAAGGAGAGTCAGAAAGACGTCACGCTCCGTGAACTGGGCTTTTATTGGCTTTCCTGGGGCAGAGAGCATGATACGTGACACTTGGATAAGAGCTATGTTGAAATGCTGGACTCTTAGACACTTTTTGGCCAATTACAGTAACACAATGACTTCCGTCTGCATGTGTTTATCAGTGGCTTCATGCCAGTAATGAGACTTCTCATATCTTTAGTCATTCATGTTCCACGTGTGCCAGTTTCTGTTAGTTCCTTTTGCGCTTTACAAGTTACTTGTTAAGCAAGTTTAATTCTCAAGAAAGCAGACTAATAAATTATCGAAACAAGATGATTAAGAAAACAAACCTCACGCAAAAAAAAGACCAAAACTAGAGCTATGGCAGCAATCTTTGGGGCATAAATGCAGATAAAAATAAGTTTAAACTGTACACTTTCATCTGAAAATCTTTAAACAAACATGATAAATATGGCATATTAAAATGGATTGCACCTGATTTCTGTTACCATAATCAAACCATAATGGATTCATTATTAATTATCTGCTTCATCAAATACAAACAAAGGCACTTATGCTTTTTAGGCGTTGTGTGGCTCGACATGGTTACCAAGACACGGTGTTGAATGTGTAACCTCAACCTCCTGACTCTGTTGTCCTGTACTGTCAGTCTGGTGCAGGAGCAGGTGTGACTGTTAACTGATAACTCTTTGATGCCTTTGTGTCTTATTTGACAGCACTGCTTAAAGTATGAACACATGAGCTGAGCTAAACAGTAGAATTTCAAAAAGCACCGTGTTTGACAGATGCAACGTGTCTTATCCCCCGATTCACCACACTCCTGTTTCACAGGGCTTTTTATTGTGTTTCCTTCTTTCACTTTCCCTCTCACACTTAAATACAGCCAAAATCAGCTCAAGGTGACAGTAGGGCAAACTGCATCACGTCCCAGTTGTGCGTGTAGGAACTTGACGTTCACAGCTTCATGTGACAAAGCAGCACACTGTATGTGTGTTCATTCACCAAGCAGAGACTGCGTGTTAAAACGCGCCACATTGTTCTTTCTTTTCTGCTCTTATAGTCTGAGTTCAGCTCACAGCTGCAGACTTGTCGTCAAAATTGGCTTTGATTAGATCTAAAGACTTTTTAATTTGAGGAAGTAGCGTGCACTCTGCCTGGACAAAGCAAAGACACATCTGCACTTGTTGCATCTGCTTGACCTCATGTTTGTCTTCTCCTGCTGGAACTTGTAGCGTTTCCTTAGTCGAACGTGGGCTGACTGTTCTAGCTTCGGGATTATACTCTGTATTGTGTGACGTGTCAAAACACTTTCCCTGGTTTAAGTACCGAATGCGTCCTGACTAATGCTGCTGTCTTTGTGGTGCATCCGCTGTGCATTACTTGTGTTGGTTAGCGACACAACGCCACATGATGAAGGTCATGTGCAGCTGCTGCAGCTGTGATATTTCTGATCAGTTACTGTATCAGTTATCCATTAAATGTCAGCTAATGCTAAAAACTGCCCTGCATCGTTCTATGGCACTTATTCAGATTGTTTTCTCCTGACCAGATCCTTGCTTGTGTTGTATTTGCTCTCAGATGTACGTCGGTTTGGATAAAAGCTTCTGCCAAATGAAATTATAGAATTGTAGGATAATCTCCCAAAGTCACTCTGAGTTTTTCTGTCTCAGAAAACTCCAGAGATAGTCTGTTTTCAATATGTCATGAAAAGAGAAACAAATTCACATGTGATATTTAGGTGAATAAATAGCTGTAAGCATTAGCTCATTGTCGATTAGCAATTCATTTTTTGTTAATACCAAGTCATGTAATTGGATGTAGCCTTAATCGATCTGTGGACCATTTACCCTAAAAAAGTACAATATTTACCTCATGAACCCAAAAACCTGTTAGTGGGTTTGAAAGGCATGTTATCTTTAAAAAATTACACCAATTATCAGCCAGAAACTGTAAAGGCAAAAAGAAACAGCTTTAAAAAAAAAATTAAAAAAAAAGCTTTCCGACAGTCGTATGAAGGTGTTATGTGTGACATAGACTTTCATCAAAATGAAAAACCAAATCTAAGCTTTAAATTGAAGATCTACATGTCTTCTGTAAAAATTCCCCCCAAAATAAATGTTTGTTCAACCAGATTCTGTAAGAAAAAAATAAAATTAAAATAAACTGTACGGCGCAGCTAGAAAGCCATTAGCCACTCAGCTGCAATGAATGTAAGAAAAATTCCCGAATAATGTTTAAAGTGCAGGCTGTGCTGACAGAGAGCATGTATGGAAATAAATTTTAAAAATGCCTCCCTATCGTATGTACAGTCACTATTTTTCTAGTATTGGTAACACCTTTAGGCACTTTGAAAAATGTTATACTTTTTTTTGGTAATCGTAGAAATTCAACTTTCCTTTTTAATGATTTGTGACTGCTGCACAAAAGACATTTTCCAGTTCCCGTCTCTAAACCTTGGGTTGTTCACATGGAAGCTAGATGACTTTAACTCTCCCTGTGCCAAACATGAAAAGTGGAAAAAAAAGGGAAGTAAATGGTTTCGGTTCCTGGCGCTACAACACTTTTTGTCATTGGTGGAGCGCAGTGTTTTTTTTTAACTCTACCTCCAAATGCACGACGTTAAATTTGTGCTCGGCTTCTGAACACACGAGAAGATTTTGAACATTTTGCTTCTGTTATGTTTGTAAAAATATGAGTTGTTGTTTTTTTTTTTTTTTTGAGCAAACAAAAATTGCGTCCTTAAAAATTCCATATTTGCTGTTGTTCATTACAGCTTAACATGCCTGCTCTGTGGCAACAATGTGCCACTGTAACATGAAACTGAACTTTGTCATATCAGTTGTGTCCAATCTGATCAGAGTCAGTGGTGGCATCAGGCAACGACTGCTCTCAGCTCCATACTGTCTCCACAACATGTGTGTTCAAATCTTTGTCTGTGCTCAAAATGTGCCCCATCATTCATGCAGCGTCGAGGCACAAATATAATTCCATGCATGTGTTAGTTCATTCATCCAAGATGTCAAACTTTCCATGAGTCAAACTTTAGCAGAACATCAGGAGTGACCTCGATCAAACTCCTTCAATCCCACAAAACAAGGTCTATATGGCCTCACTGCCCGTTTTATTTGGAATTACCCAAATGCCTGGAATTATACTGCTGCCTTATGCAATTGTTACTCAGTTTATACTGACCGCAACATTTCTGTGCCCTGTGTGCTGTTTGTTAATGTGTGTGTGTTCGGTTGTGTGCTCAGGTCTTAAACCAGTCCAGATGTGTGCTGGTGATTAGAGTGGGTCATGCTTCTTGCCACATTTCCTCTGACTTGTTACTCTGGCATGTGTGTTTGTTGGAAGCATGCACTCTCACGCAAACACACACACACACACACAGGAAGTGCTGTCCTGAGTGTGTGTGATCTTGTACGTGTGCACGTGAATATTTGAGTGTAACAGTGATTCGCAAAAAATCTTGTTTTATGTGTTTCTTGTCAGTGACATTAAGATGATGGGGAGGAGGAGGAGGCCTGTGGGGAAGCAAAGGCAGAACAGAGCTGGTGAGGACAAATCCTCACCACGTGTTGGTAGGGAAATATGCAGTGACTCATGCTGCTGACAGGAAGTTAGTCATAAACGGACAGAAACAAATAATTAACTACTTTTAACGGTAATTCCATTACAAGAAGCTATTAAAGCCATGATTCTATATTCCAGCTTTATTCTTTGTCTTCCGATTTCAGATAAATCAACGTGTTAACACTTATTTTGGTTTTTTAGGCGAACTGTTGGTATTGTTCTGACAACTTGAGAAACATTTTCATATTATTTGGGGTTTATTTTTGTACAAACACTGTCACAACTAATATGAATAAATGCATAATCTGTCTACATGTGTGGTCCTGTCTGTCTGCCTGCTTTGTCTGCTTTCCATCGTCTTTGCTTCTTTGTGATAACCGGTGAGTTTTACTCGTAGAGATCGTGTGGAAACACCATCTGTGGGGTAATAACGTCTGTTTCTCTCAGCTTGTTTCGCTCTTTTTTTTTTTTTTGCTAGTTTGGACATGACTAACATGTTTTCTCTTCGGTTCTTTTCCCCCCTCTTGTTTCTTTCCTCTGAACCTAATCTCTTATTTTCCTCTTTGACTCTGGTGCTTTTTTTTCTCCACCTCATTTCAACTCTTGCCTCACACTCTTATCTATCTCTCCACCTCTGTCCGTAGAAGTGTCATAGCGTCGACCTGATAGAGAGGAGCAATGGGACGCCTCTCATCTCTGAGAAGAAGAACAAGAAGAAGAAGACACCAGAAGACGTCCCTACCTCTTCAGAAAACTGGAAGTAACTCATGCATTTTCGATACGCTCATGATGTGCGTACACACACCTGACAGCTGAGATCCACCGATCCGTGTACGCACATACAGACGAGCCTCAGGAGGTGTGGCGGGAGTCAAAAGGGATTTACTTGTTCCAGTTGGATTTGTACCCCTGCTGCCAGCAGACGTTGGTCACTTTGTCTCATGAAGCCATGAGGATTAACTTCTCACATTAGTTGGCCAAAATGACAGCTGGTGTATCTTCTAATTTCAACAAAAGTGCTCCGTTGTCAACACCCAGCGACACGAGGAGACAACAGACATTTACGCAACATGAGGGACGTGTGAGAGCTCATTTCCTGAGGAGACACAAATAAACCTCCCGTTTTTTCCCCTGAAGGGGGAAGACGAAGAACACCTGGAACAAGCTTCATGGAAGAACTGACTCAAAATGTGTGGACAAGTCGCAGAGCATGTGATTGTTGATGCCAACGAGGAAGAAGTCCAGCACCTGTAAAGTCCACTCATCACAGCTCATGTTCTGATACAAGTTTGAATTGTGTAGTAAATCCTCTTTCATGAAGATTCTAAAGTTTTTCTGAAACGGCTTTTGAAGTTGTTGTGTGATCAGAGGTGAACCCCGTTCTCTAGTCTGGACAAAATAATAGAAACCCTCTGCTGTGTAATGAAATACAGCTCGACCTCCAGAAAGTGATCATCAAATCAAATCAAGTTCACAGTCATTGTTCTGTACACACCCAGTAGTACAGGCAAGATGAGAGGGCGACGGTGCAGCTGAATAAACGCCTTCACAAAGGGACGATTCACATCAGGACTGTTGACGCAGACTGCATTAGCTTTAGCTGAGTGTTAACTGGCAGCTGGGTGTTTAGCTAATGGTTGGGAATCTGATGATGTCGAGGTTCATTTATATAAAAAAAAAGATATAAGCTCAGAGAAAGGTCAACATCAGTCATTAATAAGGCTGTAAAGAATTAGAAGGCGTAGCTGATGCTATGTTTGGGGTTAATAAACCGTTTCTTAATGCTTTTGTGATCACAAATGAGTTATTAACCTGATGTTTGGGTTTCCAAATTGTGTAACTTGCTCAATTTTTTTTTAATCTTCAGTTCACACAGGAGGCCCTCTCGTAGACGGATCAGCCATTTGCAGAGCGATCACGTGAAAAATCTGTTTCCTAGAAGCTGCTGCCTTTTAAAGGCTCGAAGCTTCGTACTGTCCAGATGGGTGCTGGCTTTTATATGGTTCTTTCTGTTTCATTTTATAACTGCCACAATCCCTTTTTACAACTAAATATACTGGATTTTATACTTCTGAATTGAAGACCTAAAAGATTAATACAGTCACAGCTTTTCCTCACTGATTTGCTGCATACTTTTAGTCTAAATTTTACTATAATTGGGTTAAAAACTCACAACCCTTGTCAAGATAAATACAAAAAGCGAAGAGGATAAACGGCCAATACTAAGTAGAATACTCACCACATGGGAACCCAAAGCTAGCTTTTATTTATGGCTTGTTATTGATGTAAAAGTAAGCTATTTATGAACATTAACAAAGCCTTTAGTCAGAACATTTAACCCCGCTACAGCCTCTCTGCATTTGTTTTATACAAATCAACGTCTTCTTGGGTTAGATTGCTGCAAAATTGTACATGTTGGATATTTTATACTTTTTTTTTCCCCCCAATGTTTTCAAGTGTAAAAAAATAATGTGTGTTGGGTCATTTCTGCCGCTCACAAAGTGGATGTTTTCTTGATGTTGCTCTTAAATATCAAAGCAAACACACTGGCTTGTAATTTAACGGCTTTAGTGGCGACTGGGGTTTGAGTTCAGAGCCTCTGAACTGTTTTTGATTCACAGACGACAGATAATGCTACAAGCCGTTCCTTCCTCTTGGCTCTATTCTTGTTGTGTGTGTTTTTGTGTGTGTGTGCTGCTGGTATCATGTAAACTGCCTCTGTGCTGGACTAACACATGACACAATATTGTAAATAGTTTGTGATCTACAACTTTATTTATGATCACATTCTGACAGTAGATCTAATGTACAGTATGTAGTGCAGATTTGCCGTCAGAGACAATTAAACATACAAGTTTGTCAGGATGACGCCACAAATGTCTGTTACCTTGTTATTAAGCGTGAATAACTGAACAAAAAACATGAAGTTTTAGCTGATTATGCAAGTATCAAGTGAAACTGACATGAAAATGTTAATAGGAAGGAACCTTTATGGATGTATGTTGTGTTTTGTGTCTCGCTGTGATCATCTACTTCTCAGTAACTCTGTGATGCCATTAAAAACATTGTGTATCTCTCTCTCATGCAGCCTCCTCGCTGACATCTTTTCTTTAGTCTTCCTGCCAAGCTCAAGGTTGTTGTCCGTTTGCTTTGGATCCAGTTGGGCGAATGGATCTCATGATATCACTGAGTTTCCTTTTGGACGCTTTTTCTTCCTTCAGGTTCGCAGAGGGAGGAACGAGCTCTGGTTGGGTGCCAAGATCCTTTTTGTGTTCTTGGGAAAATTTCCTTTTTATCTGTTCGCCGACTTTTTCCAGCCCCCCTTTGTCCTTCTCCTTCTTTCCCTGCGAAGCGTTTTGAATCGACTCCCTCCTGACGTTACCGAGAGAAAGCCTTTTCAGTGATATCGGCGCTTTCTTGTCTGTTGTCAGTGAGAATCTCTTCTTGGAATGCTTTTCCCTCCTCACTTTATCCAGACTCAGTTTTTTCAGTTGCTTCTGCAGTTGCTTGCGTTTCTTACTGGGTAGCGCCCCCTTCAGCTGATTCATGGCTTTTTTTAAAGGCGTCTTCTTCTTCTTTTTCCAAAAAAAGATTTTCTTGAAGGAGGAACCACCCATACCTGCAGGAGGAGGAAACAATCAGCGATCAGCCACAACACAAAGATTGTTCTAGAGGCCACTTTACGCGACATATAGAAGACTTAAAAAGAAGCTGATGGTTATATGGTTTATTTAAACGTGTAGTTTGTAACTGCACAGTTTCAAAACGAGATTGTCAGGGTTCAAGCTTTTTGAACGTGTTCTAAATTCACTCAAGATTTCACAGTGAAAATAAGAGAACTGATATCCAGGACAGATCACTTCAGGCTGATGCTTTTCAAATGATTTCCGTGCTATAAATTCAGCAGACTTTTCAGTTAGCGGTTAAGTCTATTTGTTATTGTTGCCTTTCAGACAGAAAATGGTCTTTAAATTCAGTTCTATATGAATAAACATTCTAATTAGACACTTCTGCTAGACTTAGTGTAAGCCTTATCCTGTTTAATGTGCAATGGTAAAAATATCTTACCAATAAAGTAGACTCATAGTAAATTAGTAGATTCTAACTGACTATAATAATAGCATGACAAATATAACTAACGTCAGTGCGTCTATACAGGAAATACCAAATACGAGAAGACACCTGACAAGCTATCAAAACATGACATGACTGTGAAAGTTCCAGTTATTTTTAAATCCTAAACTAAACCCCCCCTTAAGGTCTGTTTAGAACTACGCGCTTCAGGCTGCGTTCGTTTCATACGTCAACCACACAAACCAACAAACACATAAATGCACACACACACACCTCGAGTCTTCGGAGCGTTGGTCAGAGCAGACGCTTCGGTTGCTTCCTTAACGTTGTCTGAGCTGAGCTTCAACCCAACACTAAAAATAAAGAGGCTGCTCTTCCATCATGTGAGGCATCTGATGAAGCAGATCTGATAGCACCACTACCCCGAGAGACAGATCAGCCCCGAGACGCCTTTAGTCCTCATTTCTGTGATGATTTAATTCCTATGTGCAGGGACACACTGAAAGCATGAGGAACAAACTGGAAGACTAACTGGTTCTGTGACATTCTGTCAGGCCGACGCCGCTTCAGAGAAATGTTTGACTCACCACAAGTCCATCAACACCCGCCATGTATGTATACGGCCCTCCTTGTTGACCTGCTATAAACCTTTCCTGTGTAGGAAACACCCTTTAAATTTGCCAAACCTTTATTTATTTATTTATTTTACTGCAAACAGCTGTAGAATGAGAAGCACTAGTTCTGTTAATTACATTTATATTGACTCTGTTCTTTTCCAGTGTACCAGTCAGCGGTACACAGTGTGACAATAAACCAGCAGTAATCAATACCAGGGCCTTGAACCCGAAGGAGCGAAACAGAAATCAGCCTTCAATCTTTTAATTATTTACACTGGTGTTTTTTGCCTATAGCATGTCGTTTTTTTTTGTGTTTTGTTTTGTTTTTTTTCAGGTAAAATGACCTTTCAGTACATTCACTAAGCTGGACAGAGAGACGACCAGAAAGGTCTAAAAAAAAAAAAAAGACTGGACATACAGGTGGTGATGTTTGTGAAATCTGCCAAATGAAGGAATATTACAGCAGATGCCTGATAGTTAGAGCCAACATAAGCTGTTGCTACACGGTTGGTTGATTTCTATGAGCCTGAAGAAGAAAGGATATGTAACCAGGTTATGATAAAGCTAAAGTGAAATATTCTCACATCTGAATAACTAACAGGCAGCAAAAGCCACATCTTTAAACTGTTGGAGGAAACCAGTGCAGCAGTTTATCTCTGTCTCTTTCTATTTATTGTTTTTTTTTTAAATTTTGCACTGTGGTAGGTTTGCTTTTATCAGGACACAACATCGAGTATCAGCACTGTGACTTACAAGCAGACCAAAGTTAAACTACATGAGAGTAGAGCTCACTGAGGCAGAACCC